TATGTATATATATATATATATAATATATAAATATATATCTATATCTATATCTATATCTATATCTATATCTATATCTATATCTATATATATATATATATATATATATATATATATATATACATATATATATATATAATGTATAAATATATAACATTAGTAACAGCAAAATAAGATTATGTAAAATATTTCATAAATCAAAGAAAAGAATTGGTGACTTAGTACAAGAGTAGCCATCTATGTGTAAAAACAATCAAACAAGTACTCACAGTGGGCATAACATGTATGTACACGTCATACCCGGCATTGGGTTAAACACAAAACCCTAGTTGACTTACAAATCAATTTCAAATGTTGCAAGTTGCAGGTGTAGCAATACTTACAAATCCAAGAACCTTCATAGCCTTGTAGACTTCACTCATAATATCCAGTGGTTTGCTCTGTGATCGAATACCTGTGGGTTAAAATCTACTGGTAAAAAGTTTCCATTGAAATTTTGAGTATCCTTGTGAATTTTACACATAAGCAAAATATGAAAATGTTGAAGTGTAAAATGGAAAGGAATTTGCTCAAGTTACATTGTCAACATACCTAGATGCCATTTAGCACGTTTAACTGGCGTTCCTTTGGGTAGCCCACGGTCACCACTAAGTGCTCTTTCACGCAAAGCTGGAATGATTAGTTTCAAGAATCAAATGTTAAATAATGACATAAAACAATTATATGTATTTATATGAAGGTAGAGAATCCAATTATCACTAGTATTCTGAAGAACTCGTACTAGATTTTTGAAGAAAAGTGATGTACCTTCAATATCATTTAAACTTGCTTACAAATTTTAATATTATTTTAATATTACATATATGATTCTTTAACACCACTCAATACAGTAACAAATTACACAGCAAATTCCTCGAGTACTTAAACTAAACAAAATGTGACAAAAGCAAGGAAAAGCATTCCCACATGAAATCAAATCAACTGAGGGACAATGATCACTCACATTGCCAACAATGGTACATAACAAAACATCAATGACTTGAGATAATACAGTAATGTCCACAAGTCATAATATATTACACCAAAGAGAGGGGAAATTAAAGCATGACAGCATATCTTTTTTTAGGAAATGGGTTTTAAAAGAACTTGAGATGTTCTCTGATTGAACTTGTTTTTATGATCCATGGAAATCTTTAGTTGCTTCTACAATGATCATTTCCATAACTGTTAAGCTTCATATAAAAATAATGTTAATAACTGATGAATTTTTGCATGTGCCAATAGTATCAACAATCTCTTAAAATTAAGAAAACTTCTCTATACTGCCAAAAGAACTTTGGAGTTCTAAATCTACAACTCTCAAGTTCCCTGCTTTACTGAACAGTATTCTTTTCCTATAACTCTAATAAATAGGAAACAAATATAAGAGGTAAAGAGATTACTCCTCCTTGCATCTAATAAAAGAAAAATGGTAAAAAGAAAGTTACTTATAAGAAATGAAGTAAAAAGAAAATAAACAAACTAAATGTACTCTAAACACTGTCTACTAAAAAATGCTTCAACTGATATTTCTCAAAAGTTGTACTTTGTACCATCTGAAAACATTAATACTATTAAAAAACTTTTGTTGATATTATTGCTACATTCAATACAATTATCAACATGATTATCATAATCTCTAATTTTACCTATCCTTATCAACAAAATTATTATCAATATTATTAGGAAGGTGACAGTGAAAGCTATGCATAAGAACAAGAGCTGTAAATTAAGTAAAAGCTAGCTTTCAAGCTCTAAACTCATATATCTAATTGACAGAAAGAAAACACAAGTAAATGCAGAAAGGGTACATTGTGTGTATTACAGATGGTATCAGCATAAATCTTAACCTGGTATGGCAGGTTCAAATCAATATAAATTAAATTCTATTTAAGCTTAGCATTATAACAAAATGAAAACTTCAAAAAATATTCTTATGGTATTCATTATTCATGAAAATAAAATATCATACAGATATTTCCTTAGCCTGTGTCATTTTTAGCCCAATCACTGAGGTTTTATGTATTGTCCCCTGTAGATCTTTGTGAATTTTGTTCTATACAGATGGCTCCATGTGTGCTCAGCCACCAAGGAATCTATCAGTAGGCCCTAGTGACTGCACTTGATTTCCCCATTCCTTGAATTTGCAGGAAAATATTATCAATACTGACATTGTTATCATTCTTATTGATATCCTGATTACTAAATTGTTATTAAAATATTAATAACATTAAAGACAATAAAATAATAGAATCAGGCTTTTAAAAAATCAAGGAAAAGAGTTAACAGGTGAGATAGGTAAGACTAATAGCTGACACATTGGTGACTAAGCATTTGTATAAAGCCATCATCTATGGGTAAAGACAATAGATGAACTTTTATTGCAATGGGTATGGCATTGTAGTCTTGCCATCCATGCTTATTGGGTTAAAGGTGAAACATGAAAATAATTACACAAAGAGCAAGATTTTGCACCTGCCATAAAGGAACATAATTAACCAAATCTAAGCAAGAATCTAATGTATTTTGATTGAAATTTGATGCTTAGCTCACAAAATGAGAAAAATAGCTCTTTTCTTCAATACTATAATATGGCTCACATGCAAAATACAAGACAATTTTGAAACCAAACATATATTGTACAGTAAATTTCTTCTGGCTCCATTCTATTGTCAAAAATCTGTTACATTATATAAATGAAAATACACCAACAATAAAATAATGTGCATAACAGAACAGAAAATAAATAAATAAATAAGTAAATAAATAAATATATATATATATATATATATATATATATATATATATATATATATATATATATATATATATATATATATATATATATATATATTTATGAATATAACAAAAGCTTTCTGCTGCATACATGATTTTAAGCCATTGCAACTATCAAAACTGATGTGCAATTCTGCAGCAAACCCTTAATAAGCATCAAGCATATGATATGAACTGTCCTTAACCATGAATCATTGCACTTTATAATAAATGAAATTGTCATAAAATTAAGGGGTTACTGTACGGTTATCTGACAGTTATCTTCCATTAAAGCAAACTTTCTTGCAAAACAACATGTCCCACATCTTATGGTAACACAACATGATACAATGTATATAAAAAATATAAACATATATCTAAAAAACAGAATAACCACTCTAGGTTAACTTTGTTCATGCATTGCACCTAGGAAGAATATTACAACTAGATAAACTGTATGACTCAATATCAAATACAAATAAATTACTAAATACAAATAATACTAATTATTAAGTAGACAAAATATTCAAGTGATGTAACAGTAATCCTTAGCAAGTGTTTGCTTATATTCATCACTCCTTTTCACACATAATAACTTAAAACTACTCTAGGTTAATCTGTAATCTAAATTACAAGATTATCTTTTGATGAAATTCTATTTGTTCACTACAACACTGTTTAGAGATGACAAACGAATTCTATACTTACAATAGAAATAATATAAATCCTCCATTTCTCTTGTATGTTAATTCATAATTTCCCATGACTGAATAATTTGAAATAAACCATTATGACTGTAACTCTGGTATCATCATGATAAACTTAAAATATCAATGTGTTCATATAATCTATTCCTAATATATCTTGCTTCCATAAGCACATAAATTCTTAACTATTTTTAGCATGAACAAAGTTTTTTTTCTTCATTCATCAGATATTGAGTTACCACAGAGATAACATTTCAGGTGTTTACACATGAACTCACATGCTAGCATTTCAGCATGGATCTTGCCAACACCAAGATGAGCTGTCAAGGTGAGTGAAAACTTGGAAATAAGCTGACAAAGACAACTTGCCAATAAATAATGGCATTATTAAGTATGTATAATATGGGTGTTATGTAACTAGCAGGAGCTTTCATTTATGGAGAAAAGTTAAATAAATTTCTTATGTTAACATGGATTTAATGATTACAATAAACCTTAAATACATCTGATTTCTGTACTTATTTCTGTAATTTTCTAATCTACTTATTGCTATGACTAGACATACATATTTATAAAATGGAAGGTTATGCAACTTCTTTGACATCTAAACAGGGTATAACAATGGGAATTATTTCTCCTCATTCTTTTTCATAAATGTGATAAACAAAAAATGTGAAAAAAATTCTTATATATAATCACAATGACAAAATATCTAAGCTCTACATCTAAATGCTAGATGTGTTAAGAAGACCTGTGTAATAATAGGAATAGCCAAAGAAAATCTGCTTATTTGTTTTTTGGGGACTGACTGGCATTAAGCTGCAGTCTGGCCGAGATAATGTCTATATTAAGTGCCAAAAATTATGGGCTATATCTCACATTCCTGGATGAGCTTATAAGATCATTAGAAAATCAGAAGATTTGGCCTTTGGAAAAATGTGTTACATCAAAAATATTTTCTTTCAAACATTACTCTGAACAATTAAACTCTTATGTTGGAAATCACAACTACACCAGTAAGCAATATTGTCAGAGGAAGGGAAATATTAATTCCATATTCCATAAGTTGGTTACCCTGTGCCAAAAGGAAAGGACTGCATCAACAATCTAGAACAGATGCTTGGTTGTACTATTTTGTGCAAATACTGGAGCTAGGCAAGTATGTCTCCTAATCTTCCTTCTTAATGTACTTGCAGTGAGAACTCATATGTTAGCTTCCATTTCAATAAATTACTTTGTTATTCAAGAAATACAGAATAATAGGGACAGGACAATGCTTGCCAGGTGATGGGAAAAAACAAAAAAGGAGTCTGGGACTAGGACCACAATTTTAAATTCTGAATAATGAGATTACCCAAATTAGCCTAAACCTAAAAAGTGCATCCTCAAAGTGTCAGTCTAGCAAACCTGAACTGTATAGAAACTTAATAATCATTAACATTTCTTTATTGCACAGTTCTTTAATTATATGCTGACTTGTCATAAAAACCTGCAATATACTAATTAAAGCTTTATAAAAAAAAAAATACTGGCAAGATGGCAACCTGATTAATAAATAAAATTAATACACACAAAAAATATCAATATATCCAATAAACTATCTTTCTATATACATAAATATATATAAGATATATGTATATGAACATGTGTGTGTATATATATACTGTACATAATAAATGCATATATATTTTTCACTTTTCTTTTCCTTTCTTTCCATCTTTCTTTTCCACAGACATTGAGTTGAGAATGAAATCTGTAAAATCAAACAAAATTTTTCTTCTAAATTTTCTTCATCATTATCCTTATCCTCTATCCTCAAAGCCAACTACATCAAAATGATGGGGCTTAAACAGACCAAAATTCACATGAATGAAAAATTAAGCAATCCAAGCTGTCAACTATCATGAAAAGCGAGTGGATTCCGCTAGCCATGATTACAATAAGCTGATTTCTTTTTGTCATCATATGAACAGTAAGTGCTGCTCCACAGTAGCTTCTTTTGAATGTATTTGTGACAAAAGGTTCTGAATAATTCCTCTTGAGAGAACATATATATGACAGGGGAACCTTGTTTGATTTTCCCCTCACCTTAGGACTTTGTTTAACTTTAAAAAGGACTTGCATGCCTTCTCTTTTCCCCCTTGCTTTCTCTGTTGAGGGCCTTAGGAGAAGAGCTGGGGTGGGAAAGACATTTGACATCTTTTCATTTTCATATTGCCCATGGCCTTGTGTTCATCAAGCTATTGCCAGTTCTATTTCCATGATCAAAACTAGGTGTCCCCTATTCTCATTGGTGGAGGAACTTTTTCTGTAAGCAAGATGCTAGTTAAGATCTATGAAGCTCCACATCACTATCTCTACCAGGTCTGAATGACCTGTCATAAAAACAGCAGGATACTGGTTGATCACCAATGAGTTCCACTGTGTCAGTGTCCAGGAAAATATGGTGATTTGCTGGTTCTATGTTGACAGCCTACAATTCAGTGCAATGTAATGCCTCTAGAAGCAAGGGTCCTTGAGGACAACTGTGCTTCTGTGTGATCCAGATAATGACTTCATATCTCATAGGGACTTAGAAATGATAGTTGGATACTTATTCTCAACAAGTATCGAGATCACTGGAGTAGGTATCAGACCTGACTTTCCCCTTAATATAATGAGGAGGTATGGTGTTCTTCAAATTAATCTATTTGTGTCCATCAGCAATTATATACTTTCTTAGGCATAAAGTGACTCAGAATGGAACACCATCAGTAACTCCCCTCATGTTACAGCTGTTTGATAAGCTAAAGAGAATTCAAGGATGTATTCTCCCCATGGCTCCCAGTGTGAGGCTAAGATGTATTCATATGAACTTTAGTTTGTCCTCTTCCTGTTCCAAGGGGCTTCTATAAAGTAGGCTAATAGAAAGCTTCACAATATCCTTATGCTTGCTTATACATGTAGAATTTCTGTTGACATTTGGTCAATCCTTTTTCACCTGTTATGGTAGAGAATCTCTTAGAAGGCCACATGCAGATAACCAGTACTCAATATCAGCCTGCTAGTTTATATTTCTGCAGTACATTTGAGAAACAACACTCTTTCAGAGATGTGTTCATTTCTGGCTATATCATCTACATTCAGATTCCTTACCTCCTATGATCCAGATCACATGATTATCACATATTGAAAAACTTTGGCTTGAGGGGTGGGTGACGTGAACATGCTGTCATGGGAAAATCTGGCTGTGGGTCAGCTTGACGCAAATTTGCCATAGTGAGCATTCTGGCTGAAGGCTGGTTTGATGGGAAACCTCTTGGAGAGTGATTAGACTAATTTTGGCATTCTGACTAATTTTGGAATTATTTCCATTGATGAACAGGTGTGGAATGTAATGTCCATGCGCCATGACTGGAAGAACACCAGCTCCAAGCAGGACACCTTTTCTATGTTCAGGAGCCAGCCATGACCAGCAGTGTAGGTTGTATTAGGTCCCAGGAGGAGGGTAAAGGTCAAAGAGTCTGGGGAAGGCTTTGCTAAATAACGAGGTAAGGTCATCCAAACCCCATTGACCAGCACTCAAGTCAAAATTAGGTATTTTTCTAATTAATAAAACTTCCAGCATTTTTCTTTCATTTGTTGATTTATGAATAAATTTAGCACTTTCCAGTTAGGCTGGTGACCTTCATCATGTAAATGAACAAAACAAGCCTTTGATTCTCTGGCATATCTAACATCATGTTTATGTTCATTAATTCTTTTCTCGAAAGCTCTACCACACTCGCCTATGTAAATCTAGGGGCAATCCTTACAAGGTATCGCACCATTGTGCTCAATCAATGTATTATGCAATATGTTTGGATCTGTAAAAACAATGTCAATTCCAGTGTCTTTAAACATATGTTGTTTTTCATCATTATACGGAATAGTTAGTAGATTACAGGCACTATCCTGTTGAGTATTATTGTGGCTCTTTTCTTTTTCATGTATATGTATATAT